TGAGGTGAACAGGATGAATCAAGCTGTGAGGAGAGGCTGCTCACTGCTCCTTGACCACCGATGGTGCATGAGGTTGGGCTTCATCTCACCCAACTTCGGCTATGCAAAAGTTACATGTCTAATCTGTGCCAGTGCCAGTAACCTGACTTCTCCCTGAAATTAAGGGAGATAAATTATAAAGAAACTACCCTCAATACACCTTCATGCAGACTTCAGTGCAATTTTGAGTCCCACTCAATAACAGAAATAAGGAAATACTTTCCTGATCACCAGCTTCCTTCACTCAATACCTTCTCCCAACCACTCTTCTCAGGGCAGCCTTCACCTCACTGTTCCTCAGGCTGTAGACCAAGGGGTTCAGCGTGGGGGTCACGATGGTGTAAAACAGCGTGGCTGTTTTGTTCTTATCCAACGCAAAGGTGGAGCTGGGGCGCAGGTACATAAACAAGATCGCCCCGTAAAACATGGTGACGACCGTCAGGTGGGAGGCACAGGTGGAGAAGGCTTTTCTCCTGCCCTCCGGAGAGCGGATCTTCAGGACAGCGGGGAGGATGTAAGTATAGGAGACAAAGATGATGGCCATGGTGCTGAGACAGTTTATGCTGACAAGAGCAAGGACGACCACCTCGTAGGTGTGGGTGTTGGAGCAGGAGAGCGCTAAGAGTGGGGCGATGTCACAGAAGTAGTGGTTGATCACGTTGGAGCGGCAGAAGGAGAAAGTAAAGATGAAAGTGGTGTGTGTCACCGCGTGCAAGACACTGATGGCATAGGAACCAGCGACGAGCCAACGACACATCCATCCGCACATGATGGTGGGGTACAGGAGGGGCTTGCAGATGGCCACGTACCTGTCGTAGGCCATCACGGCCAGCAAGAGGCACTCGGTAACCCCAAAAACAACGAAGCACCAGAGCTGGGCTGCGCACCCCAGGAAGCTGATGGTTTTCTCTTCCATCAAGATCTGCACCAGCATTTTGGGGAGGATGATGGAGGAATAGCAGATGTCAACAAAAGCCAAGTGGCTGAGGAAATAGTACATGGGGGTGTGAAGGTGAAAATCGATCCTGATTAATACAATTATCCCAAAGTTCCCCAAGAGGGTCACCATGTACATGGCCAGGAAAGCCAAGAAAAGAGGGACCTGGAGATCTGAGTGGGCGGTCAGCCCCAGGAGAACAAACTCATGCACGTCAGTGTGATTGACAGGTGTCATTCTCTGTAACACATCCAACCTGTGGGAGATAGGTAAAGTGGCAGACAATGATTTGGGCAGCTCAGCAGGACCCTCAGCTTCCTTGGTGTCACCAAAGGGAGGCAGAGCCCTTCCTATCAGAGGGTCGTAAAATGTCAGCTGGACTCTGGATAGCTCTTGGAAGGGCCAACCATTGTCCAACAGCTTCAAAAGGATCCTAAAACCAAAACCTACTTGTCAAGCTGACCAGTGAGAATGTCCACCTGGGTTTAGCTCAGCACTTCATCTCCTATGCAACTTGCTACTTGTGCCTTCCTGGGGACATTCAACGTAGGAGGAAGGTCAATACACTGGGCATTTCCTACTAATAAACTTTTTTGTTTTCAATTAAGATATTTAATTAAATTATTTAATGAATTTTTTTTTCTTAGTAAATGGCAGGTACATTTTGAAAAGAATTGGTTTTTTAAAAATAAACCAACATGGAACAATTTGACTTGCAGAAATACTTTCCCTGTTGACTTTCCTTTCCCTTTGCAAAACGAAGCAGAGCAAAAGCATGGGCATTTTTCTTTTACAGCTGACAGGAACACACAGTTTTCAGCATACACGGTCTTGACAACACCAGGGGAAAGGAAATGCGCGGTGGCACGGTGGCGACAGGGAAACGAACTTGGATGCAGAGCTGAGGCCCTACAAGGAAAACCAGAAGGAGCTGAGCAGGGTAGGGAGAGGAGGTAATACAGCCTCTGCTGTAGGTAGTGAGCACCCTCTCGCCTTGGCCATCAGGGCCACCCCTTGCCATTACAGTGGCACCTATGAAAAGACCGAACACCTACATGTCTCCTCGTTTTATGCCATCGAAACTTTAAAGCAAACAAGTCCTCCTCCCGTGTAGGATTCCTTCTGCTCTTCTCAGTCTTGTTGCTCTAAATGAGATATCTTACACCTCTGGTCCTTTCTTTCCTCTATCTCACTACCGTCAAGTCCATACGACAAAAAGAAAGGGATGCTTACTTTATCCCCATGATGTCCCTTCATGTCCCACCGCTTCAGAGCAGGTTCAGGGCTGAGGACTCGCCAGAAGATGCCCTCACCTTGGACACAACTTCTCCAACAAAACTCAGATCTTCCATGCAGGTCCGTGCAGCTCCTTCAGCAGCTGGGATGAGTTTAGCGGCTCCTCCAGACAATGACTGAGGCCGTAATTCATCTTCAAACAGATGTTGAGAGTGGTTTTAGCACTCCTTCCTTAAAAGCTGCTCTGAGGATGATCTGTTGCTGCACCTTCCAAGAGGGCAGACAAGCCCCTGCTGTAATTTTTAATGTTCAAGTAGTATTTATACTAATTTCTGTGACCTTGGAGGCATTCCAGTCCGTGGAGAATAGAAGCTTGACAACAAGCAAAATCCACTCGGAATATAAATTTCTTCATCTCCAGGCTCACTAATGAAGCCCAGAAACAATTTGCTTTGAATATCTGGCTTTAAGAAGATGTCTTCCCCCCTCTCCCATGCTGAGGAGAGGGAGTGGATGAAAAGTGAACGTCTACATGACTCACCAGAAGCAAATCCCAACTTTCTTCTGCAGTCACCCCCGGTTATTATCCAACATTCTCAAGCATCTTTCCTACTGCCACTTCAGCTGGATTTCATCAATGCAAAGATACTTCTCGCAACCATTTCTGCTGTCACGGTCTCCCCTTGTTAGCACCCTCTTGCTCCAACACCCACCCCGAATGTTGATCTTCGCCTTTGTTGGCTTTGGTGCGACAGTAATTGTCCCACCGCCACGTTTTTTTGTTTGTTTGTTCGTTTTGCTATGAGCGCTGATAAGAAGAGCAAGGCAATGGCGATCACCTCAACTCAAATCAATACCAGAACTGCAGTGTTACCTAAGCAAAATTATTTTCACTGACATCTGTCCGCTGGGTCCAAGTGCCGTGACACCTATTATCCGCAATACTGTGGTCTTGAGGTATGGATTCACAAAACACTTTTCTGTCTGCTTTCCCCAAGATATTTTAATTTACAGAGCTGGAAGTCTCTCTGTATTAGTGAGTCTGAGCAGGTTGCTACAGAACCTCCAGCAGCTGCGTTTCAGAGACCACTTATTCCTGCCATTATAGTACTGTCCGTTCCTACCTGTATTTGTTTTGACAGTGAGAATTCAGAGATGTTATAATCCCCCTCAGACTGCCTGGTGATAACCTCTCACCACCACCATCGCCTCCCAACCGCTGTCGATGGCCCCGTGGCTGAGGGATGCCTTCCTCTAGTAAAATACATGAATACCTAAAAAAAGGCAGCCGTTATTTTCGAAATGTTATGATAACTTTTCTCACAAGCAAATCCGCTATTAACTTCCACGACGGACTTTTTTCTTCAATTTTTTTTTTTTTTCTTAATGAGGTATGGGGCCAAAAACCTCGGCAGGCTATGTACAGCCACCTCAGGCATTGCATCCCTTGGGGATACGGGCAGCACTTGAGACCAGCGGAACACGACCAGCTGGTAATTCCCCCCTCCGAAGTCACTCTGCCTTTACCTGGCAGCGACCTCACCGAAGACCTACCTGATCCCATTCTCACGGCTCCCCTAAGCGCCATCGGGTGCCCAGCTTTTCAGCAGAATTTGCGTCTAGAGGGACAAGGGCGGCATTTTCTGGCAGGTGTCTAAGGTAGTT